CCTCAAGATGAAGGTATACTACTCCTGGGCACATCGCCATTGGACTCTACATCCTACTACAGATACACTTGTTCATCCATGTTCATTACTGCTTTATTGATAATGGCTAGAAATCGGAAACAGCCTAGATGTCCATCAACAGACAAAAGGATACAGAAAATGTTATATGTTTACATAATGGAATATTACTCAGCTGTTAAAAAAAAAGGAATGAAATTCACAGGTAAATAAGTGGAGCTACAAAAGTCATCCTGAGTGAGATAACCCAGACCTCAAAATAAAAATATGGTATATATTTGCTTATATGTGATATTAGCTTTTACATTTTTGAGAAGCATGCTATAATCCATATACCCACAGACGTATAGAGTGAGGTATTAAGGGTAAAAGAAGGATCTCGAAAGGAACTGAAAATGGAATATACACTTATGGATGGATTAGGGGAGGGGAGTGTACCAGGCTTTTTCTTTTGTACCACCAACCAGCTCCCAAATCATAACACAGAGACTTCTTATTAGTTACAAATACTCAGCCTAGCTTAGGTTCATTTCTGGCTAGCTCTTTTAACTTGAATTAACCTGTTTCTCTTTATCTACCTTTTGCCTTGGAGCTTTTTACTTTTCTTTCCATCTGTTCAGCTTACTTCCACTGCTTCTGGCTAGCTAGCTGGCAGCTACCTGGCTGCTTGCCCCGGGCATGTCCCTCTCTTTCATCCTTAGTCTCTCCTCCTCCTCCTTCTTCTCTCATTCCTCTTCCAATCCTAGATTTCTCCTTGTACTTATTTTCTCTGCCTGCCAGCCCCACCTATCCCTCTTTTGCCTAGCAAATGGCTGCTCAACGTTTTATTAGACCAATCAGGTGCCTTAGGCAGGCAAGGTGAAACAGCAACACATCTTTTCATAATTAAACAAATGCAGCAAACACAAATGTAACACATCTTTACATCATTAACAAAGGCAGCAGAAACAAATGTAACACACCTTTACACAGTCAAGGTAATATTCTGGGGCATAAAAAAATGTAACACATCTTTACATAGTTAAAAATAATATTCCACAACATGGAAGATTAGAAAAAGAGGATTAAATGGACAGGAAAGACGAGGGAGGTAAAGAAGGAAATGGAGGAATGGACATTTAAAACTAAGGCCATCTGTGGGATTGTATGGAAACCTTTTACAGTAGAAGTTTCTTAAAATATATACATATATAAAATAAATTACCAAATAATGGAGGCAACAAAGTTCCAACTAGACATCTGCCACCACTAAATGAAAACTCCAATACTGGGAATGAGGTACATCTAATTGAGTTTTGGCCCAAGGGGTTCCCTGGAAATCCCCAAACAGCCCAGTTTGGTTGCTTTCCACAAACTAATGATAAGGCCCTATTGCCGAAGACACCACATATATTACTCACTGGACATGAAGAAGTTGAACTGGTGCCTACTGAAGCCTTCACCCCTACTGACTAGTGTTCATAGTACTGGAAGGTAGTCTCCATGCTACCAGATGAGAAGGTAAACACCAACCCAGCTGCAACCCTTCAATCTTCAATGGTCACCTGCCTGCAAGATATGCTGGTGAAACGGTGGCGCAAAAATTGTGCAGGTAACCAACCACCTGATTGTATTTATGATCCACTCCATGAGAACTAATCCATCCCTAACTCTGTCTGCTCAGGTGGCCATAAACCTGAGACTAGACAGGCCACGAACCTAAGAGAAAACCAAATACTATTGTTCTACTAAAGGAATTTAGTAATAAAATGACTCCTAACATCATTCTTCTATACTCATAGAAGAGTGTCTTGCTCAGCTATCATTAGAGAAGCTTCCTCCTGCCATAGACAGAAACAAATACAGAGATCCACAGCTGGACAATGTACAGAGAGTGAGAGGCCTTGGAACATGGTCTTAAATGGGATGTCAAATCTCCATCAAATCTCCCTCAGGGCTCATGGTGCCATGTGGAAGAGAAGTTGCAAAGAATGTAAGAGCTGGAGGAGATGGAGGACCAGGAAATGAGGCCTTCTAAACACAGCATGTGAACTCACAGAAACTGTGGCAGCCCATACAGGGCCTGCAATGGTCTGAGGCAGATGGATTCCTAGCACTGAGAGGAGAGGTGAACACAAGTTCCCATTCCAATTCCAAACTATCTCAATTAATAACAACTTGTAAAGGAAAAATTAGTTTTTTCCAATGAGGACATGGAGTTTCACTGTGTATACAAACCACCCTTAGGGCTAGGCCCAATGCCCAGCAAGGGACGGCCAGCACTAACTATATCAATGGTATTTTTGGAGATAGTTTGTCTCATAATGCTTTGTCGGTGCATTTTTTTTTTTATCTTACAGGTCTTTTGCTTCCCTTTCATGATTTCCAATTTTATGTTTTATGGGATTTCTGTATGTGTAAATGTGTGTATCTCTGCATCTCTGTGTGTTTCTTTGTCTTTGTCTTTGTTTTGTTTTTTCTTCCTATTTATTTGTTTTGCATTATTCTGATGTATTTGATTTTATTTTTCTTTCTTTACTTTTTATTTTTATTTATTTTTTTTTGTTTTTTTCAAGAGCAGGTTTCTGTATGTAGTCCTGACTGTCTAGAACTGGCGCTATAGACCAGCCTGCCCTCGAATTATAGATCTACCTGCCTCTGCCTCCCAATTGCTGAGACAAAAGGTGTATGCCTGGCTATTTATTTTATTTTAAATGCCTGTTTGTTTCCTAGTGAGAGAGAAAAAGATGTGGATTTTGGTGGATGGGATGGTGGTGAGGATGTTGGAGGAATTGCCAGAGGAGAAACTGATTAGAATATATTTCATAAAAATCTGTCTTTTATACAAAGTAGAGAAAATGAATAATTTTCAATAAATCAATAACCAATAATCAATGAAAAGGAACTACAAAAATACCCCTTCTGAGAATTGATCAATAATATTCCTTTTTTAATAAAATAAAACAACATTAAAAGCAAATTATGTTATTTTTACCTTTTTATAACAAGAGACTGTGCCAACAAGTGAGAATCAGTACCAAGTCACAGATGGCTGCTTCCAAAGCAGGTAGCTCTTGGAAATTCCTCACTTCAAAGCCATTTGTGTTGCTTGAAAATTATGCTTGTAAATTGCTTCACTGTTATCTGTCCACCAGATTTTAAGAAGCTTCTACTATAGTAGGATCCCATACAATCCCACAAATGGCCTTAGTGTTAAATGTCTATTCCTCCATGTTATCCCACATGGCTGTTAAGAAACTAAAAAGAGTGCCACTTATGAACATTAGTTTCTGTTATAAGATTATTGATTTGATCGTTTTATGAGCATCCTCAAAGCAGATAAGTAGAAATATTTGGCATGAATAAAAATAATTTTCATCTACAACCTAACTAAGGTTGTAGGTTAATAAATATCAGAGCTTGAATTGACAGATTGGGAATTTCAAGTCGTGTGTGTGTGTGTGTGTGTGTGTGTGTGTGTGTGTGTGAGAGAGAGAGAGAGAGAGAGACAGACAGACAGACAGACAGACAGACAGGGACACACACACACACACACACAGAAAGAGAGAGAGAGAGAGAGAGAGAGAGAGAGAATCAAGGTAAAATACTCGTTTTAAATTGAAGCATGAATATTTATTATCCATTATCCATACACACAACTCTGTTTTTCTAAAAGGTATTTTAAAATATTGTATTTTAATGAGGCACGAGTTGGGCTGGACTTTGGTCCTTGTTCTCTTACCATCCCTGCTGAAATGGGACAGTCACTATCTCACTGTTGAGACTTTGAATGAAGCTTCCATGTGCCCTTATGGGAATAATTGAGCTCTAACTGCAGGTGCACGGTGATATTGTGGCTTGTTAAAATCAGGTTTTACACCTGTGTCCCTGAGTCTATCAAACATAACCATTCAAATGAATGTCCCAATGGAATTAGTAGGAAAATAATAATTAGATAGGTAGATGATAGATAGAGACATAGATACATAGATGGTATGGTTGTAGGTTTTAAAAATAAAGGTGTCTGTTCTTAGAGATTCCTCTGGGAAGACCACCAACTAGCCCTTCCTATAAGTACTTTTCTACATTCCTAATGAACTCAGTTGTTTGTGTGGCCGACATCAGCACAGGAAAAGTTGGTGATTGTGTACTTGGGAATTTTCTCCATCAATGGATGTCAGAAATATCTGTGAAATTTAAACAACATATGTATCTATGTGGGCTCTAACAAATGGATCATTAAATGTGTGATTGATTTCTCCCAGACAGTTATATGATTGCTTTCTTAGGCTCCAGCCATCCCTTTGTGTAGAGACACTAACTCCAGTATATTTGGGGTTGGTGGAGTCTGTGTCTCAGGGAGCAGCTGATCTTGGAGTATCCATTCTCTTTATTATCTTGCCATCTGTATCTTAACATGGACAGTGGGGGCTGCTGAATTTATAATAATGCTTCACATTTTCCACTCAAGGGTGTTTCTCACACATTTTGTTAAAAAGGTGACCTAATTTTTCTACTAGAAATGCTGACTTTATGTGGGATGTCAGAACTCACAAAATATGCTATGTTTGGTCCATATCATCATGTGAATTCTGCTGTTGCTGCTGATGGCTTTTTCTCTGTGATATCTCAATGCTCAATTACCTTGAAAGAGTTATGGGTGGAGTCAGAAAAATTGAGTACTGGAGGTGGTCAGTTACATGAAGACTGAGGTATATTTAATAATATGAGTGAGTTTTAATGTTAATAGCATTTACTAATACTTGTAGACTGAACAGGTGAGTGAAAGCATGGAAAGGAAAATGTGCTCTGCACAAACACCTTCTGAGAAGGACACACTTCAGCCTTCCAGCTTTGTGTTTTTCAGCATCCTGAGCAGCATTTTATAGTACCTTACACAGTACTTTATAATTCCCTTATTGATTGAGTAGTGAAGGCCCCTGGTCCTAAGATGTGGCTCACCATTTTTCAATTATAATGAAGAAATGTCTTGTTTGTTGCAGGCATGTTTCAAGAAGTTGGCTTGTGGGACTTTGAGAGATGCTGCTATCTGTGACATGCTGGAAGTATCATGATCAACTACTCAGTTTGGATTTCACCCAGTGGCCATGAGTTTTGTGTGGTAGACAGCAGGGGTTGGATTTTTAAAAAAGAGCAAACCAGGTAAGGCATGAGGGAGACATCTGCTCATTCATCACTTGCTCCAAGGGCTTCGGTATGCTTCCAGGAGGTACTGAATAATATATAGCTTTGCTATTTGTTTTCTAAGTCCACTGAAGAGGTTGTTGAAGAATGAGATTTCTTTGCTTCACAATGTATACAGTAAGAATTGAGACTTTTTCTCTCAAGGGAAGCATGGATCTATTTTAAGGTGTACATTAAGCATGTGTGAATATACTCTAGATTTTAATTTAATGTAATAGTCAAAACTTGCAGGTGATAGAGATTTCCTCTGTAAGCAGTTATTCTGAACTCTAATGACATCCGCAATCATACTTTTGAGGGTGCAGTGGGGGAAGTGTTGACTTGACATATTTATACTATATACAGCATAAAAACATGAATATGATTTCATTGTATGTGATCCTATAAATATTCTTCATGCTTGCTTCAATTCAGAAAATTATACCATCCTTCTTGCATTTATTTCTTTGAAAATATTTATTGTTCTAAATTTTATTCATGTAGTACCTAAAATAATAATGCATACTCAGATTGGTTTGGATCAAAGAATATATAAGAAGAAATTCATTCAAATCTTACTTAATTTTTGGGTTTCACTCTGGAAATTTTTAATTATTACTCATGAGCAGACATTATTTTTCCCATTGACTCTTTTTCACTCTAAAATACATTTTAAATGATTTAAATGTGTGAGCTACATTATCTTTGACTTGTATTTAATGCTTCCTTTTATTTAATATGTTGGAAAATGAAGTTTTCTGTAAATTCATGTATGGACACAGACAGCATAGGGACAATTTTTTTTAATGTAGAAAACAATGGGATGGGTTAATTGTATCATATGAATATTCGAGTTCTTTAAGCTTTTTGCAGAAAAGGCCTTTTTATTTTCTGAAAAAGAATGATGCCATTTTGTCAATATACTGTATGTATATAAAGTACATTAGAATCTAACATATTTGTATGGAAATTAGGCCTTCATGATATCTTGCATATTATATATTAGAGAATGACACATTATAGTCTAACAATCTTTTGGTTGTTAAGTAGGACTCCCAAAGTGTCAACAATAAATTAATTATAAAAAATATAACAAGAATACCTTCCTAACCATTTATCAACATGATACCAACTATGCATGCAAAAAAATTACAATCTCATTGATTCCAAACTTTGTGGAAATTCTGTGGATTGCCAAAAAACATGGCAGAAACTTTCATCTGACAGCCTGAGCTAATGGACACCTTGTTTCTTTTCAATGCTACAGTGTGTCATCCATATTTTGAAGTTTTATGGGTCTATAATAGATCAAAATGCCAGATTCATTACTGGGATAAAGATCAATCTAGCCTTATAACACTCTTTCATTCAATCCTTATCAAAATTTTCTATTTCACTCTGGAAACTGCTAATTATTACCCATGATTGGGTTAGAACTTTTTGTAATCCTTACATGTTAGACCCTGGTTTTTAAGCTTGCTTTTGATGAATATGGAGTAATATTTATCCTAATTGTGTTTATTTTAGTATTTGCAACAAACAGAATCGTATCAAAGTTTCAAAGTTGTAAAGGAGAGTATTGAAAGGGGAATAAGATTGTTTCCAAGAAAAATGCTCATGTGACAGCACAATTAGTCATTAGCTTTCCACAAAGGTAGAGACCACTGTTTGTTTGTAAAGTTTACTTTCATTCTGTAGGACATTTTGTTTCTGAATTGTGAAGGTCATTAGTTTGGGGAAAAGGTGCAGGAAGCAATTTGATCCAAGTAGTATAAGGAAGCAGCTTCCCTTGCCACAGTCCTTTGAAGTAAATTTTGTTAGTTCCAGCACACAGACATAACACTTTCTCAGCAGTGGATGAAAACAGAGTTGATAGGTATCCTCTAGAACACATTTTCAGCTAAAATGAACTATGTTTACAATGAAAAGAAAATACATACATTTCCATTTTTTCGTTTACATTAGTATTATATTCCTTTTGTTATCTGTTATCTGAATGGCAGTTAACAGATTTTTATTGTGACATAGCTTACTATTTTAAAAAAGGCGGTCTGAGCTTGACCTAATGGGTTTCTGCATCTGTTTCTATCAGTTACTGGATGAAGCCTCTCTGGTGACAATTGGGCGAGACATCAATCATCTTTGTCTTTCTGGGTCTGGGTTACCTCACTCAGAATGATTTTTTTTCTAGGAGCCAGAGGGGTCAAGGACACCCTAAAAAAACTTACATAATCAACTAACCTGGGCTCACAGGGACTTCTAGAGACTGTACAGACAACCAGGGAACCCTCATGGGACTGACCTAGGCCCTCTGCATATATGTTACAGTTGGGTAGCTTGGTCTTCTTGTGGGACTTCTAACAGTGGAAGCAGAGGCTGTCTTTGACGCTTTTGCCAGCATTTGGGGCCCTATTCCTCACACTGGCTTGCCTTATCTAGTCTTATTATGAGGGGAGGTGCCTTGTCTCACCACAAATTGATATGCCCTGCTTTTGTTGATATCTATGGAAGGCCTGCCATTTTCTGAATAGAAAAAGAGGAGAGTGGATTGGGGGGTCAAGAGGGAGTTGAGGAGGAGGGACTGGGCAGAGACGAAAGGGGGGAGGGAAATGTGGTAGGGATGAAAACAAAAAAGTGTCAAGTCTTCCAAGTTCTATTTCTAAAAAGTTTATAACAAAGCCATGAGATTTTGCATGATTTGTAAGCTTAGAAACATTTTTTTCTTTCTGGAAGCACTCTTGAAGGAAAGGTTTGCCTAGCTTAGGATTATATTACTATATGTTTGAACATAGAAGCAATATTAAACTATAAAGACGGGGTATGAAAGGTGAGACTGTTTTCCAAAATACTTCTAATAATAGTTTACCCCATGTAGTGGGATATGGAGTCCCCAAGGCAGCTCGTGAAAAACATCTGGGTTCCTTGTGTATGCAGTGCATCTGTCCTCACACCCAGTCCATTGCTTCACATTCTGAGGCCTTCCAAACTACAATCTTGAAAAGTTTAGTGGAGCAGTTGGTCTAGCATGAAAAATATTGCATGAACTTAAATGCTTTCTGATGACATTCAATGGCTTCCAAACATTCCTGGAATTCCTAACCTATTTGCAATAATATATAGACAGAATAAATTAATAACCCTCTCTTCCTTTTTCATTAAGCAATTTCTTTCTCAAAAAAAAAATAGACAGACAGACCAAAATACATTAAAACGCATGAAAGCTCATTTTGAAAAACTATGTTAAAACCATTAGTGAAAAGTTTGTCCATACATTGAGATAGATTGTGTGGTTGGATGGACTTTCTTGTTAGCCACCAGCACCCAAGTAATGACATGGAAACTTATTATTAATTATGAAAGTTTGGCCTTTAGCTTAGGCTTATTCCCAACTAGCTCTTATAATTTAAATTAACCTGTTTCTATTAATCTACATTTTACCATGTGGCTTTTACCTCTCTCCCATTCAGTATGTCTGACTTGCTCTGAGTCTCCCTGGCATCTCTCACAAGCCTATATTCATCCCGAGTTCCTCTCTCTCCCCAGGAGTCCTGCCTATTCTCTCCTGTCTAGTTCTTGCCCTTTCAGCTCTTTATTAAACCAATCAGAAGGCACCATGGCAAAGATACATCTTCACAGTGTACAAAAGATTATCCCACAGCAGGACTGTTAAACATACAGGTTGCTAAAAAGATTTTAAAATGAAAGACATATGTTAGCCATCTAACTAGAGTGGGAAGAATTTTAATGGATGACAAATAGATGTGAAAGCACAATAGTCTCATTACGTTGTCTGACTATCCCAACATAGTGTTAAAATGGAGCATCATGTCTGAAGAATGGACACTTGACCCTGGGGCACAGGATGAGATGGAAGACTTGGCACATAGGTAGTGGCTGGGCTTAAGGCCTTTGTATATATAGTAAAATAAAAATAAAAATTAATGCCGTTAGTACAACCCAACTTACTCTTTCAAATATATCCTGGCAGAGGATATAGTGGAAGCATGAAAGGTGTGTGTAGAAAGGAAAAAATAAACAAAAGATGTTCAAATACTTTGCTACAGAAACTGTGTATGTAATAGCCAACTGCATCACCACAGTCAAAAACGTCTCTTGTCTACCAATGGCTCTCCTGTCCTGTCAAATGCTAACTAAATGAATGTCTTTCCCTGACAGTCGATATACTCCTACATCTCCAACTTTTAACATGTTTAGGAATAGTTTTAAAATTCTTTACACAAAAGGTGAGATTTTGACTATCTTGTTTGCAGCACACTCATGGGCATGGATGCACAGAGGCACACGAACTCTGAGTATGTGCTTGAAATTTAACCTCAGATCCTCTGTTTGAAATTTATGCTTCAATTAAGATGGGGGCAGCTGCTACCTACTTTATTTTCCCTTTGAGACTTTTATCTCTCCAGCTTTATCCTTCCCTTCATCGCTTTATCATCACATCAATCACTGTGTTTCATTTCTCAGGAGTCCAGCATGCATGGCAGGCACATTTTTATGGCCAGAAAGCAAACCTACCCTACTTAGCATGTACTGCTTACTTAAACCTAATTAAGTAATTCTGCTGAAACCATCACATCCTTCCTACCACAATGAGCGTTTGGAGAAAATAATAAGGAACACAGGAAGGCTGTGGAAGTCATGGGGAAAAAAGAATGAAAATGCACAGCACAGAAAGGTCACTATCAGTCTATACTGTCTTCATATAATCCTCAATGAGCCAGGACACATTAACACCTCGAGCAGAGGAACTTCACACCTTGCAACATCACATTCACTCCAGCCATTTAATTGGAAATTACCACAGCTGCAAAGCTCCTCTCAAGTATACCAGAGTCAGGGTATTTGTGTGTCTATTTTTAGGCGCATTCTCTGACAGTCCCAGTAAACTCTAGTAGCTTTACTCTAAATATACAGTTAGGGAAATACTGATATTATTCCTTGAAATGCAGATTCTCAAGGAT